GCGGCGGCGGCGGAGGCGGCGGACAATGGGGCGCAGCGCGGCGCGGAGTGGCGCCATCTCCCGGAGATCCGCAGTATTGCACGGAGTGGGGCCGGGGGCGGCCCCAGCGGTGCGTTCAGCCCCAGGGATGGAGGGGATGCGAGGCTCGCACAGCACTCTTTCTCCCCCCGCCTCTTCCAGTCCAAAAGCACCGTCTCCATTGGGTGCGTGTCTGCAGAGAGGGGTGAGAGCACCCCGTAAGCCACGGTGGATGGGACTGAGAGTGGGAGGTGGGTGGTGGGTGGCCCGCAGTGTCCCCAGCAAAGGGATCAGAGCACACAGGAGCATCTGCACATGGTGGGTTGGTGTGAGAAGCATCGCGGCCGGAGCTGTGGTTTGGGTTTGCCGCTAATTGGCACTCACTGTCACTGCGTGTGGATTGGGGTTGGTGGTAGCACAGGGTGACTCTGGGCTCTGTTTCCTGGCAAATCTCAGTCGTGGAGTCATAGGGGTTGAATACCAGTCAGGCCAATCCCTCTTCTATCTCAGGTTCCCTAGAGTAGGAAATCCCAAGGATAAAGGAGGTTGTGTTGGCATTCTCTGTGCCATTTTGTGAGCGAAGCTGGGCCCTAATGGGGAAATCAAATTTTGCAAAACCGCACCCCCTGATGGCGTTTGTCACCCACCGCAGCGACACGCCACATACAGGGCTGCTGGAGGAATCCCTCTAACTGAACGTGCCCCACTATCCCCAGTCCTGGAGCGGATCATTTCCTGCACTTCTGTTCTTAGAGCTTTGCCTGATCCCATTTGGAACAGCATAGATTTCTCAAGGGCTGCCATTCCCACAGCAGCAGTGCCCTGTGTCGCCTTTGGGGCACAGAAGAGGTGCCGGGCTGCGGGGGCAGCACAGAGCATCGTCCCATACCCACCCTCAGAACCACCGCACCTGCAGCGGGAATCTGCTTCGATTTATTGTCCTGAATGCAAGGAGGTGAGAGCGGTGGGGACAAGATGGGGGTGCAAAATGACAGCAGGGGTTTGGGGTGCAGGGAACAGAATGATGCACAGAAATTAAACACATAGCGGTGCGTCATGTAGGGCCGTATGGATACATAGGAGAGCACTTTCTAAGAGCCCGGATAGCTCAGTCGGTAGAGCATCAGACTTTTAATCTGAGGGTCCAGGGTTCAAGTCCCTGTTCGGGCGTGTCAGTTTTTGCTTTTGTCCGCCAGATTTGGTTTGTTTCCTTTCCAGTTTTTCTTTTTTTTTTTTTTCCTTTGCTGCTAACGGGGGGCAGCCGAGACTCCAGCAGTGGACGTTGCCGCTCCTACCCCAATTTTTAAAAGTATTTTGAGGAGACAAATGGCCAGGAGAGCTTCTTGGAGGTTGTGGAATAAAAATAAATCTAAAAAATCAGAAAAGGAAACGAAAAAAATGAAACGCGCGAGAAAATTATTCGCCCGAACAGGGACTTGAACCCTGGACCCTCAGATTAAAAGTCTGATGCTCTACCGACTGAGCTATCCGGGCTCTGGAAACGCAGTTTTGACGCCACTCCTATCAGCGTACTACCGAGTGAACGCAGCGCTGTGCTGTACCACGGGAGGAGCAGGGGGGCTCGCAGGGGGCTGGGGGCTCACATGCAGAGCTCTTAGCGGCTCTGGGTGGCACATCAGTTCAGGGAGCGGGGTAAGAGGAGGAACTGGGGTTACACGGCGCACAGCGGGACACGAGGTCAGCCCAACAGCGCGGTCCTCCAGGGCGGTCTTCCACAGCAGGGAGCGGGCGCGGATTCCGTCCACTCTAGCAGAGCATTTCCGGTATGCTCCATGATACGGCCGCGCCGTGCCGGGCGCCGCACGGAAGCCACCCCGCAGCCATGTTGGCTCCGAGGGGAAGTGGCGGCCGAGGCCCCGCTAAGATGGAGGGGCGCAGCCCGCGGGGGGTGTAGGGGGGTTTCCCCCTAGCCCGGGCCACCTGGGGCCCATGGAGCAGCTGTAGGGTGAGCTTCGCCGCTGCCAGCACCGGGGGAGGCCGCGGGGTCTGAGAGGGTGCGGGGAAACGGAGAGCGAGGCCTGGAGTGGGTGGGCGGCCTCTGTGGGGGGGCGGGAGCCGCAGGCCGGGCCGTTGGCCGCTGGGGGCAGAGCTGCGTTCCCCACGTGGTGCCCGGAGAGGAAATGAAGTTTCCAAACTTCAGCGTCGTTCTGATCGCGTGTTGTGCTGAAGGCTGGAAGGGTCCTCCTGCTGGCTGACAGCTGACGTGAGCTCACAGCGAGCTCGAGCCTTCTGCTGCAGCTGTGAAGGGAGATGTGAGAAATGCTGCTCTGTGGTGCACCTCTGCGTTGTTGCTCGCGTTTTCCTCTCTAAGCTCTCTCATAGCTCGCGGTTATCTGTGACTTTGGTCCTTTAGCAGCACGGTTGGCATCTCAGAGGAGTGTGTGGCAGCCTGGCTACAAGGGGAGGAGGCTGGGACTGCTTGTACCGTCCTTCACATCATGAAGCCTTCACATCATTAGCCTCAAGCCGTACCATGCTTTTCCAGGGCCAAAGCCTTCAGCAGTGTAACTGTTGAAGCAGTGGTTCTAGGAGCTGTATTAACAAGAGAGAAGTGTTTCCAGAGAGAGCGAATAACTCAAAGAGCAGATGAGCGATGTTTTGCAATTATTACACAAGATGGACTTTAGATGAGCCCTATTTTTAGGGTAGTCAGCCCTGGCTTGCAGCCAGAAGGGCTGCAGGTCACTTGGTTAAAAGCAAGGGTGAAAAACTGGGTCTTGGGTTTGATGGCAGCAGAGTTTAATAGATGCAAATGATAAAATATGTTGGAGAAAGGGTGACAAGACTGGCCAATGAAACAGTGTTGTTAAAGGTTACACTTATATCTGCTTTGGTGTTTGTTTATGCCACGCTGCCCAGCAGCTCTGTGTCACAGCAATGCTCCAAGCAGGGTGCTGGGGCTGCTGCTGCTGCCAGGTGGGTCTGGAAGGTCACCCAGCTCTGCCCTGCATTGCACTTAGCACTGGGAGACTGGGTGGTAAACGCTGATGGAAAGAGGTTGCAGTTTATTCACTGAGTGCTCGTGTCTTCAGGGCTGTGTTGAGGGCTGTGTGTGGCAAACAGACTTGCAGTGAATGCTTATGTGTTTAGTAACTCTTTTATAGGAGTATTACAAAAGCCCCTGGATGTTCAGCTCTGTGCAAGCTCCTCAGGCAAACATATGCAGCTAGAAGATAGGATTAAATTAAGGGCTTTTCACTGCTGCAAGAAAAACAGGTTTAGGTGATTAGCTTCAGTTTTGCTTATATTCTGAAGTGCTTAACAGTGTATCTGTGCTGTGACAGGAACTCTTAGCATAGTGATGTCAGGGTATTCTATAGCCACTATCTGGTGCAGGAGAAGCTTTTTTAATTATCTGGCTTGCTTCATCTTTGTGTTAAAATAGTGATATTGATTTGATGCCCCCTTAAAGCACTATTTGAGAAAAGTAGCCTAGGAAGAAGAAACGAATACAATGTAATATGGTAAAATGGAGGTTAATGGAAACAGTGTGTGCAGTGGGGTAGAGCTGCTGCAGGGTTCCAGGCATCACCAGTGACAAAGCTGTCAGCAGCAGCTGATTTAGGGAGATTTGCAGAGCCATTTGCCAGCATTCATTTTTAATTGAAACAGTCAGTTTTGTTTTTCCTCCTCTTTAACTGGTTTTGTAATGAAATAGCATTGCATAACATTTGTACTTGATAACTGCTCACGTTCATCAAAGGTTGGGGTATTTTGGTGGGCTGTGGGCAGATCTTAAGGTGAGAGCACACAATGAAGGTGCGACATCTCAGCAATGAAACTCTTATTAGGGGAAATTCAGGCTTTGTTGTTGTTGCTGGATTTGGATTGTAGTCCAGAGCAGTTTCCAAAAAGGACATTTTGAAGCTGGTGTTTCAAGTGAACGTTAAAAATAGTAGCCCTGCCTTTAGCTACCAGAAGTAATGCATTAAGGGAGTTCTCCATTGTGAAACTGAGCGTTTCTCTGGATGCTTTTCCTAATTGAATGCAAGCCAATATCAAAGCAATGAGCCAGAGCCCCCCAGCACTGCACTCAGGAAGACAAATACCTGCAAAAAGGCACTGCAAAGTTGATGTTGCACTCTTGATGTTTCCTTGGGCGATGCCTTGCAGCTCTCCCAGAGGAGATGGGTGGACTGGATGGGAGCTCAGCGATGCAATCAGGTTCAATGTGTGGTGCAAAGAAAAGCAGCAGCAATGGGCTAAAGATGGGCAGGGTGTGTTTTACAAGGAGCAGTAAAGCTCTTTTTAGCCAGCTGGCTGGTAGGTGGGCAGGCATGAAAACTCACTGATAGGAGCAAACCTAATTGACTGTGACTCAGTTGTCAGATTAGTGCTTGCTTGGACTCTTCTCTCTGCAGTTTCTCTATATGTGATAGTGAACACGTGGTGAGTTTATTCTGTTTTTGTAGAAGTTGTGCTTTATTTGAAAGCAGGAAGAAGGGTGGTAACTGGGAACAAGAATTCAAAGTCAGGCATTAGCCCAGTGTTGAAATGAGCTATGACTGAGGCTGCAGATCCACCAGGCAGCATCATGTCTTCTTTATGCTCCTTGCTGCTCTTTTGACTTTGCAGTAGATAGAAACTGCATTATTGCTTGACAGACTTAAAGCAAACCAAAATAGAATTAGAGCTTCAACTTTACAGGCAGTGCCAAGAAACATCCATGCACCCAAAGCCTGCACCCACCTGTGGGTCTCTTAGTTAAGCTCTTTGTCTCAAGCTTTGCTTTGTGTGAGCATCAAATAAGCTGTGATCTCATGGGGTCCTGATCTCCTTCAGGAACTTTTACTCACAAAATGGGCAGGCAGCTTGTTCCTGTAGTGTGCATGACCATATAAAGCGTTCAGATGGGAAAAAAACCACCCGTTACTTCATGACTACTTTGTGATTCATGATTTGTTCCAAGGCTTTGGTCTGTGGGGACCAGCGTCTGTTACACATGTGGCTCTGAAGCCGTAGAGGAGAACAACGTTAAGTTCACTGCTACTTTGTTGTCTACAAACTTGTCTGGACGCCTTCAGCATCGTGGGGTAAATATGTGGCATGTAAGAAATGGATTCAGCTGGAGGGGAGGTTGTGGAGGAGCTGGCGATGTTTCTTTCTGGCCAGCCCCAGCAGGGGAGGCAGTGAGGTTTTCTGTCCTGACGGTGCTGGGCAAAGCAACTGGTGGCTGCTTCCATCATTCTTGTGGGTATCTGCAGCCTGGGCATGTCTTAGAGCTTGCATGCTCATTTAGCTTAATTAAAAGAAAGCTGCTACTACAAGTCAGTGCTAAGTATCAAGCTTACTAAAAAATACAGTTTGCCTGTGAAGTCTGGAGGCAAGATGATGACTTGTCTGCCTTCCTCATACAGGCAGTACTGAAGCAGTTAAAACTTGAAGACAGTAACTGAGGTGTAACCTGGAGGAGCAGAATCTCTTTCCAGGAATGCAGGGTGGAGGGGAAACCCGCCGTTCTCTCCTCTTTTGCCTGCTTTTCACACCTCCTGCAGCTGCCACCCAAAGCTGATGCATTTAGCTGCAGCTGGCAGGGAGCTCAGCCAGGCTCTTGCAGAGTGCTCACAGCTCTCGCCAGGAGCAGAGGCACAGGGGGGACTTGGAGCAGGGAAGTTCAAGGCTGGTGAGTGGAGCTGCAGTTCAAAGTGCAGCATAATGGGTTCTGTGGGTGGCTTGTGTTGCAGCACGTGTGGCATCATGGAGTGGGGAGAAATGTAAGGCTGGCAGTGGTTTTAGGTATTAAGTCACTTAAGTTATACCTAGATGTGGTGACTCCCAGCATTATGTGCCCAGCTTGGATTTGAGATGCATTAATCACGCTTTATTTAGAGATGCTTGATCTTTAGGGATGATTTTGTTCCTGGCAGTGCTTTATTTCTGAGAAATGCAATGGTGTGAGGAATAGCAGCAGCCTTTTGCAAGGTCACAGCGTCTCTCAGTAGATGGGCAATGGCAGATGGGCAGTATCCTGAGTGTGTCACTCTGGATATTGACTTGAGAATGCTTTAAAACATTTTGCTTGTTGAAGTGTTAGCTCTGCCTGCTAGGTGGGTGTTTGGTCTGTTTTGTCATCCACCATCCTAAAGGCAACATTTCAGTTTGTGTAGGCAAGTTCAGGAGCCAGGCTTTGCTATTTAGTTCATCTCTTGCTCTGCCAGAATGTCAGCAAGAGTCAGCTATAGGATTTGTTTTATTAATGCCTTAAGGAGAAAGCAACCAGATCAACATTGCAATGGAGAATTCATTGTAAGAACAGCATTGGCGCTGGGTCGGTGCATGCTCTAGAGCTGAGGTGATGCTGTGTGAGAAGAAGAGGTCAGGACTTCAGCTCTTTCTCTAGCAGGTTCAATTTCCTTTCATTCAGTAGGTGGTTAATTTACACTGTCCTTTCTCTTTAAATATAGAGAAGGTTTTGAACCTGCTTTGCATGGGGCAGATTGTACTGGGCTGTGCTGAGAGTCTGAGTCATTACCAATCATTGTGCTTATGAAGCTGGGCTCTCTGGGTGGATACTGAAACTGATAGGGCCTGACACATTCAAATAGCTGCAGGACTTCCCCTTTTGTTCCTTTCCAAGAAGGGATCACTTCACCTGCTCAGCCAGTAATGCTGTTAAGCTTGTTCATTTATAGCCTACATCTGGTCATTTGGGGTGAAGGCTGCAGCAGCTTGAACAGATTTTCTCTTGAAAAAGCAGGTGGGGAACGTGCTGATCACTGCCATCAGTGCTGGCTGCTGGGGGGGTTATTCTCCTGTAAAGATTTCCCTTGGGGTTATTGTGACTCAGCTTCTGCTTTCTCCCCCTGTGACTCCAGGGCCTCAGCACGTTAAGAATTTGCTGATGGTGTGGTGCAGAGCTGCAGTTTGCCCCCAGCTGGCAGATCCAGGTTCCTCACCCAGCCACCCTGCATCCTCAGTGCCACAGCAGCCCCAATGCCTGCAGAGCTGGCCCAGCTCCCCCCCAGCTGTTGGTTGGGCACTGAGGCAGCTCTGTTTTAAAAGAGCAGCTGTGGGGGCACAGCAACATGATCATCATTTTAGATATGCGTGCAGGGCTATTTTTAAACACTGACTTCCTGAAACTTCTAAGAAGTGGAAGTGGTTAAACTCAAGACCAGGTTTCTTGGCTTAACTGGTACGTGAAACTTCTCATTTACAGGTTTGTACCATAAACAGCTCATCACTGCCACAATGACATCTTCAAGCTCTGCCCAGCATCCAGCAGCTGAGAACGCCTGCAGAATCACCCTTGGACAAGCTAACCAGGTAATTATCTCCCCCACTTATCTTCATTGCTTTCTCCTCACTAAAGCTTCCACTTCTTCCATTAAATCAAAACTCTCTAATGACATTTAGGTAGGAAGAATTTAGCATGATGGAATAGGGCTTTTATCCTGAAGACTTCTGTTAGCTTTCAGCAGATCAGAGATTTATGAGTGTTTTAAAGGGAATAGAAGGGGAGAAAGCAGATAAATTGGGCCATAGAAGAAATTGCATAATGCACGTTTTTGTATTGGAGCTATACTTGAAGAAATCCATATGCAGCATTGCTCCTAATGCTAGACGACTTGTGACAGCTGCATTGAAGCATTATGGCTTTGTATGTTAAACTTTGTTCAGTCAGTACCGCATCCCCACGGCTCGTTTTGAGGTCAGCACTGAACATACAGCACTCGTGTCACTGCCTCTTCTTAGGGTGTCCCTGGAAGAAGCAGTTGCAAGCCAAGGGCGACGTGGCAGGCGTGTGGTTTGGCTGTGACACAGCATGCTGACAGCCAGTCGAAGAGGAAACACGCTGCAAAGAGTGGCTAGAGAAACCTGATCTAAAATCAACTATTTCCCTTCCAGATCCACTTCACTTGTGCAGGGCATCTCCAAAATATGAAGGGAATGGGCAGGAGCGAAAGTAAACGGATGGCGTGTTAAAGATCCTCCCATTGGAGGCAATTCCTGAAGCGTTGAAATGCAGCCAAGCCCTGTGCAGTTTATGTATCTGCTTATTTATTCAAAGCACTTTGCTTGAAAAAAGCACATAAATAGGCTCTGATATTGTTGTGAAAATATTGATGGCCAACAGTTTCCGAACTAACAGTTCTGTTTTGGCTGCACTGTAACAGCTGAGGGCTCATTTTGCATGGATCAAGCTAACTAGGTTGCTTCTTTAATCAAAAGGAGATGCATGAGCAGTTATTTCAAAATCTATTTGAGAGTGGTCATTAGAGAAATGAATGAGTGCAAATACATAATTTATCTTATTGAAAACCGTATGCTGATACAAGCAATTGCTGTGTTGTGCTCAGCTTTTTCCAAGTAAACATGCTGGTTTTGGGAAAGAACAACTCGTGTCCAGCCACAAGCCTCTGTCTGAGCTTGAAAATATATCTAACAGTCACAGTAATGGGAGAACAGGGAGACCAGCTATGCTTGCAGTAGGGAATAATTTTTTATGGCACTTAAACAGTGGAACAAAAGCCTTGCAAATATGCTGCCCAATAGCTGAGTGACAAATTACACTTGTGACAAGCAGCTAAAACTTGTGAAAACAGTGCTGCAGCTAAATCTGGTTGTTGAGGAAATACAGGGTTGCAAGGGAAGGAAATAAGTATTGCAGCTGCATTTATATAGGCAGAAAGGAGAGGTGTGTATGAGGCCCAGGTGAACCCATTTGACTGGGAGGTGAAGGTCTTCACCTGCACAGATTGCATGCCTTGAGAGCCTTGTCAAAGCATAAAGGAGCCAGCAGTAAATGTTGTGTGCTAAGAACTGGGTGTTTTTTCCAGTGACAGATTGAAATATCTTGCTGTTTTAGCACCTGAGAGACAAAGAAGGAGGGCAGGAAGCGATGCAGAGTGGGAGATGTGTACATTAGCACACAATATTGTGCACCATTCTGTAGCATTCAGCTTCCTGGCAGAGCAGCGTGGGCTTTCTGACATCTTTCAGGAGGGTGAGGCTCTCCTACGAATGATTAAAATCCTTGTGGAGCACACAGAGTGGAGGGGGAAGCAGCTATTTAAAACACACTGTAGTTTTATATAGCATCTGTCTCATGTGCTACTCAAAGCTGCTTGGGAGTGTGGGTGAAACCTCAAGGGGTTGTGGTGCAGTTGCATTGTTCCCAGGGTGCTTTACACATTACCTAGTAAAGGTTTTGTTTATTGACTGAAATCTACAGAAAGCACAGATTCTGATCCTTGGTGTTAATTAATCACACGTTGTCTTTGACGTAGTCTTATTACTAGGTGCCTCTTCATGGATCCTAATAAATACATCCCTCCTGAGGTCTGTACAGAGCATGTTCAGTCTGTTCTCTGCACTACTCGAGGGCAATCAGCCTTGCTGAACTTATGTTTCAGTATATGGGGTGTCCCATGGTTGCTCCTGAGTACATGACTGTGTTTGATCAGTCACTGCCCAGGCCTCCATACCAAGGGCCTGAGTTTCCTATCTTTCCTCACATGATGGATGACATCAAAGTTAATTGGGCCATGTGAGTGATTAAAGCCTTTGGATCTGTCTGCCCAAGTTCCTTTATTTTTTTTTTGCCTTGCACCTGAGTCACAGTGATGGTGCTGATTTTCAGACCTTTTAGCTTCTCTTCAAGCATTGGACCATGCAGATTACTTGTTAAAGAGTATCAGCTCTCAGCAGGTTAGCCTAAGGCAAGCCATGTTTCCCTATGACCTCCATCTCGTAGCACAGTTGTCTCTGCACAGCGTGGTGGCCTCAGGCAGCTGGAGCAACTGAGATCTGCAGGCATGCATGCTGGGCTCACATTCTTTCTCTCATTGCTTCTCATCCTTCAAACAAAAATCTGTGCTTTGTGTTTCAGGTGCGACCCAAACTCCCTCTTTTGAAGATTCTGCAGGCTGCAGGTGCCCAAGGTGAAACCTTCACCCTGAAGGAGGTGGGCTCAGTTTCTAAGCACTGAAAGTGTGCCTGTCCTGTGTGCCTCTGCTTGGTGGATGGTTGTTTGGTTTTGTTTTTTGGAAGGATTTGGGACTGGCTCTCGATTCTCCTGTACTTGGAGGCCCTACCTGCAGAACAGGGATTCTGTACCCATGGGGCTGTTGGGATTTAATTGGTGGTTAATTGTCAGGAACCTTTGAAAGAACTGAGAAAGGAGGAAGAAATATAATCAGAAACTGCTTTGGATAAAGAAAAGATGGAATAAATAGTCTCCTGCCTGAGAGAGAGTAGGAGATGCTGTTCAATTGTCTTACTTGGTGCATGAGAGCCTTAAAAATTGGATGCTAGTTGATACTTTTAAGTTCCTTTTGAACTTGCTTGTCAGCTAAACCTGAGAGACCCTGCAAATTCATTTATTTTTAGATTTAAAATGCAATATGTGTACAAGATTAGAAAAATGACACTGGCTGTGATTTACAAGAGTAGCCTGTCTGGAAAGAATTAAATGCAGTGGTTTTTCATTATGAATGTGTCAGATATTCCCGCAGAGCTCTGTGACTTATTTTAAACACTTATGCATTTAAATAACTTGTTTAGCTTCCACAAAGTTTTGCAAAAACAAATTGAATGCTTTAAATGGGGGCAGTTCAGTATTAAATGCAGGTTGCTTGTACAGATTAACATTTTAACTCAGCTCGGTCAGTTTTTCTGCAGCAATTGGGGTGCTGTTAACATCATTTTGGTGGCGTTTGCTATCATTCAGGAGGGTCACTTTGGTGGGTAATGGGGGTGGAACTTGGCCTGTGTTGGGCTAAACACACTTTTTCTCCTCTTGTCCTCCTCACTGTAGCTGGCATTTCTTTTTAAATTGGAGTAGCAGGGGGAACTTGTCTTAGTTTTCTGTCCTGTTGGTTGCAAGCCTTAAGCAATGTGGTAAAGCTTCCTTGTTTGAGACACTGGTGGGTGGCAGAAATGCAGAACAAGCAGATGCTGTTCAGCTTACAGTGAGTAGGAAGCAAATACCATAAACTATAACATATACCATAACATATACCATAAACTAACAAATTTCCAGAGTCTTTGGTTTCAGCTGCAGATGTGGCTAATGAGATGTTACAATTCCACAGGTTATGCATTACCTAGGACAGTATATCATGGTGAGGCAGCTGTATGACAAAAGGCAGCAACACATGGTGTATTGTGGAGGAGATCAGCTGGGAGAACTGCTGGGGCTGGAGAGCTTCTCCGTAAAAGATCCAAGGTAAGAAAAAGTAACCTTTAGCACACGCTGTATGGTGGAGATTGCTGAGTGAGAGACCCTTGGTGACACTGTTCCTATGTGCAGTCACATAAATCTCCATGAGTGCCAAGTGCCCAGCTCTGTGGCTTTTTGCTAATGCACTTGACAAGTTTGAGTTTAGCTCTTGTTTTGAAGAGCTGGTTCTGAATGGTCCAGACAGCAACCTGGTGGAGGTGACATCTTCCCTTTTATTTCTGCATCTTCTCAGCCAACTGGTCTCAGGTTCATGCTAAAATCTGCATCCCTCAGGTATGTTCTGAACCAGATTCAGGAGTGGAGAAAATGCACTGCAGATCCCAGCATCTCTATGGGGATAATAAATGAGAATTTCTGTCACCAATTTGACAGGGTAATGCTGTTTGCTGCTGTGATTATATTCACCACCTCCTTCTTTTCCACAGCCCAGTCTATGACATGTTGAAACGGAACCTTACTTCTGCTGCCATGACAGGTAGGTTTTTCACAGTATGGGCAAGTATATTCAATAAAGTGTTGATGTAACTTGGGTAAGTAATGATATTCAGAGAAGAGAAATGTTTCTGAAGTTGGAACAAACTGCTGATGAAGGCTTTGACAAGAGTCACTTTGAGTGTGTTCTGTTTGTGTGTGTGCAGCATCAGTAGTTGTGGTATGAAATCAATCAGCTGGTTGAGTAAAACAGCTGCTTTTAACCAGTGGCCAAACCTCAAAGCAGCAGATAAAATATTGTGGATACCCAAATCAACATAGCTGAAGCATCTCATCCCAATTTTTATTGATTGCTCACTCTTTTGTCAGTTTTGTGACAGTCTGTGACTTCTCTCTCTTGCCTCGTTTTATACTTTAATAGTCTTGAGAGTGAGCTGTAAAGAATGCTGGAAGCCTAACCTAGTTCTGCAAGCCAAAGAGGGCTGGACTTTACTCAAATCCTGGATGTTTAAAGGCTACAGTTCTTAGGCTTGTGAGGCATACAATCTATTACATCAGTTTATTCTGAAGTTAATCTCAGGTGATGGCTCCCATAGTAAACTCATCACCTTCGGGTGCCAATTAATTAACTTATTGAAGCCACAGGTTTGCAGATCAGGAGTCAGCTGTAGCAGGAAGGTTGTGAAGTCTCATGTTTTGCTTTCCAGGCTCTCTAAGCAGATAATGTGGGCTTAGTTCTTTGTAAGTGCTTAGTCTGTTTTTGCACACACGTGTTGAAGCAAATGCAGAGCTTGAGGAGACATGGCCCTGAACTGTTGATGTCTGTTTTGAGCCATGTATTGGTGCCTGTGGGGTCCACCTCCTTTCCTTTCTATTTAGAACCTTCCTAAGCAGACTGATCTAAAGGCTTAGCTGCAGAATAACTGTGTGAGTGCAGTTTCCTTTGCTGCTAGTTCCTTGGCCTTTTACCTGTAAGCAGTGTATGAAGAGCAAAGGATCCCAACGAAACACTCTCCTCTGCTACCCTGTTCCCTCCTACTTGGTGTGTGCATGTGGCTGTGCACGTGTGGCTGGGTGTGCGTGTGTTGTCCAGTCGTGCTGTAACTATTGCCAAACCTGCCAAAGGAAGTGCAGTTCCTTTGGTGTGATGATCATTTGGTTTAACCACCATGTGTGCGTGTGTATCTGTGTGACTATGATGCGAAACAAGCTTGGCAGACCAGGCCAACTACGTAGGCAGGATGACTCTTGGTATTGTTCTTCCCTCTGTTGCAACAGAAGTAGCTGAAAGTGCTGTAGGGCTTAAAGAGGCCATCATGTTTTATATTAGCAGCTTGTATTCACTTGCCAAACCAGTACTCATCAGAACATCACTTTTGCAGATTATCCTGCCCACTTCTTCCAAGTAGGCTTGTAGGAAGAGCAGTGACTGCAGTACATCTTGTTAATAAAGATTAAGCTCTGACACAGTGCTCTTCATCAGGTGCTAGCCTTACTTGGCTAACTGTCACTTTTAACGTGAATCACATGAGGGGTATGTAGGAATGCTGCCTCACTTCAAAGACATTTTGTGTTCAGTTCCTCATATATATATTAGCTTTGAATAAGGAAGCCTTCCAGTGCATGCAGTGTTTAGGACTAGTACATATCATGCAGTGTTAGAAGGGCAGTGCTTCTCTTCTAATGCCACAGTGGAGATAAAGCAGTGATGGATGAGCCAGCTGGCTTCTTTTTTCCTGCAGGTGTGAAATCCTTAATGGCCACTAAGAAGTTGTGTGGTGATGAAAGCAAACAAAAAACGTGAACAAATCAGTGCACAGAGCCACATCATTTTGTGGTCCTGTGTGTTATCACTTCATGGTCCACTTTTCTACCTACAAGGTGCAGTTTTCGGTGCCATGACTCAGTGCAAATCAGATTGTTCGTGCCTCCCTAGCATTCTGCAGGGAATTTCTCTGCTAAACTGAAATGGGAGAAAGCAGGAGACATCCTCTCACCTTTTCAGAGAGTAGATTTCCTAAATGCAGCTCTTCTGTTATGTAGAAAGACTCTGTAGACTGTTATTGCTATTTAGTTAGGCTGGCCTTTAAGATTTCCTCCATGTGTGCCTAGCAAAGCCTGGGGAGTGCCATAGAGCAATGCTTCTCTAGGAAGTGGCCATCACTCTAAGGAAGAAAGGGCTCTGCTTTCCTAAAGGATTGCCTAGAGGTCTGCCAAGCCTGGGTCGTTGGTTGCTTGCTGAAGACCCTCTGTGTTGTGAGAATGGTTATTACCAGGGAAGGTTTTTTCTTTTGTTTTACCTGCTATCTAGATGCTGCACAGAATCTCGCAAAGGATCAGAGCGTCGATAAGCCAAGCCAAGACCAGCTGAAGGTAAACCCACTGCGTGGTGGTTTCTTTTGTTGTACAGAGTGCCCCTTCTCTGTACCTGTGCATGGTGGACTGCCAGAACTTTGTGCTGCTTGGCTGCCAGGTTCTCACCTTCCTGAAAAGTTCTTGGAGTCCACACAGCAGGGACAGAGCGACCCTTCTCTGTTCTCACCATAACAGAGTGCCAGTCTCTGAGCGCGTTTCTCTGGGGTGTAGCACTTCTAGTCCTCAGTTCCTCCAGCCTGCTCTGTCTTTTCATGTCTTTCCCCTTTTCCCACGTTTCCTCTCTGAGTAGGAATTGCCAAATCATTCAGCATTCTAAAAAGCGTGAACGAGTTTTGTGTTTAGGAGGATTGTTCTCAGAAGCTTTCAGATGGAATCTGAAACCTAGGAAAAATCTTTGCACGTTCTAATTTATCTCAGGTGTGTTTTGGGATTAAGGTTAAGCTGATCTGGGGGTTGTCTGTTCAGACTGGGGGCCAGAGAACCACAGTTTTACTGCATTTAAGATGGCAACTTTTGGACTTTTTGCCAGTCTTAAGATTTTTCCTGGGTTGCAAGTGTGTTGTTTGTGCTGATTACAGATGCATTAGTGTTCCTAGAGGGTTAACAGTGTGTAGCTTTTGTTCAGAAACCTCTATTTATCTTCTTACCTTTTTGGCGTTGTACTGCAGCTGGTGACTCAGAATGGAAGTGCTACATCCCCTTGTCTCTATAAGCTCTGGTGGGCTAACATCTGCTTTTTCCTTCATGCAGTTTAGCCCAAAGGAAGGTTCTGACACTGTCATCATGGAGGATGAAAGCAATGCATCTGCTGTGTCTACCTCAGAGCACAAATGTGAGAATTATGAAGGTGAGTGCCAGCTTTTCCATGGTAACAGGCTGTACAAGCACTTCTGCTCCTTCTCCAGCATGGCACGTTGAGCTTTGTATCAGGAAACAGCTGGAGGAGGGTGTTGGGAGGCTAATAAAAACCTGTTGTGGAATATAGTCTTTAAAGCTCATCATTTTATGGCAAAGATTGAGAGAAGTGCAAATGTCTGCCAAGTGTACTTCATGATAGGCATGTTTTCTAGCTTAGATACTTCGTCTCAAAAATAAACACTGAGTAAATTGGCAGGTTAAGCCCCCAAAGCACAACTGTCACTAACCAGTGCCATCAAAAATCTTGCAGACCTTGCTGAAGGGTATTGTAAATGCTGAAATTAGACTTGTATCTGTTTATCTTCCCAAGGGACCCTCTCTTCTGATTACACAGAACGCAGCCTGAGCTGTCTGCAGTCATTACCTGCAAACCAATCAGGAGTATAAGTAACAATGGGTATTTTTTTTCTATCCACCTGAAGTGTCATACAGCTCCTTCATGTTTAGACAATTCCTTTGTTTTAATGCCTGGAGTTTTCTTGCTGGTTCAGTCATGGATTTCTGATGTTATGGAAACAGTTTTCCTGTTTTTTCCACCTTCTGCTCACAGATTGTTCTCACATCAAGGAACTTATTTTGTAAAAACAGACCATCTTTGCAATGTGTGGGTATTTCTGGATAAAGTGAGAGCAGTAAATATTTTCTTGGCTGCATGTGCAGAGGAGGTAGAAGCAGTCCTTGTTGGTGCCTTTGAAGCTCTCAGCAGTGAGGAGGGTTTGTTTCAAGGTTATCTTGAAACTTAGACCTCTGAGTTGAGGATTGGAGGCTAAACTGCATGTGCTGATAAGGAGACTGAAGCAGGGAGTTATAGAGGATAGATTTTTACCTTTCCATTTGCTGATTTGACCCTGGTTTGGGAATTCAGGAGCTCCCATCATTTGAAATTTGAACAACATTCAAACCGGTTCTTTCTACATCTCAAGCACTGCAAGAAATCAATCTACTCAGTGTTGTTTTGGGTAGAGTTCTGAAGGGAGGATTCGTGTTTGTGTATTCCTTCTTAAAAAGGTGGTAACACTAAACAGAAAACACGTGCAGTTATAGACAGTTGGGAGCTCTGGGATGCTGCTTTGACCTCTTGGCTGTGTGCTGACTGTTATGCCAGATTCACTCGGGTTGATGCACCGGTGCAGTTGTGTGGCAGATCTAACATCTCAGTACACTCTCACAAACTTCAAAGCTCCTAGCAGTAACTCTGGTTGTAAGACAGTGGAAGAAAGGTTTCTCAAATCAGATGGGGCCAAATTTGTCTCTGCTAGTCTCTTTGATGATGTAGGTGTGGCATGACTTAGATTCTACTTGGCTCTTACAGACAAAGACTTAATAGAAAACCTCTCTAAAAGCAAGAAGCCTAAACTGGACCTAGTGTTTGAGGAATGGGATGTAGCTGGTCTTCCATGGTGGTTTTTAGGCAACCTCAGAAGCAATTACAAGTCCAGAAGTAATGGATCAACAGATATTCAGACTAACCAGGTGTGTAGACATTTTAAAGAGGTGCACTGTATTCTCTTCCTCTCCTCTTTTGCTTTCCAAGTAAATAATATGTTATTGTCCTTTCTCGTCCCTTCCCGCTTCAGGATTTTCAGCCTCTCCCTTCTGTGTTCCAGTCCCAGCCTTTCACATCAGGTGGTTGGTTAACCTTTATAGTGTTCTGAAATTAACAAGGCACTCTGTTATCTGCAGGAGGCCCTTCTGCACTCCAGAGCTTTGATGGTATTGCAGTAGGTGCCCCTTCCCTGTGTTGAAAGTTGTTGCTCAGTGCAGATGTTGATACCGTGGTGCACAGCTGCTGTATGGCCAGCTTGCAAGGGCAATGAGCATCGTGCTGCTCACCACCAGGGGTGTCTTTGTGAGAGTAGAGCCCTGCCCCTTTCTCTCCTAGGCATGACTGGAGAAGCAGCCCAGGGCCTGGAAGGAAAAAGGGAGAGGCATTCCCTGTGCTGTGGCTGCAGTGCTGGTCCTCCTGCTGTTGATGCCCTGAGCTCTAAGTGGTCTCTTCTGTTACTTCTCCAACAGGATGTAGACACTGCCATTGTTTCAGATACTACTGATGATTTGTGGTTCCTCAACGAAAGTCCCTTGGATCAGACCAACACTGCAGTCAAAATGGAAACAGCTGACTGCGAGGAAGTGAAGGAAGGTGACAAAAAGGTACCTTTTCAAGCAGGCACCACGTGTGTGTGCCACCAGTTGGCCTGAATGAAGTGCAGAATCCTTTGTTTTTCCCCAGCCTTTCAGTGCTGTGTTAACATGTGAGGAGCTAAGTCTGTAGCCACCCAAATTTGTGTTAGAAAAGGCTGTCACCATTTCATACACAGAGTGATAGCTTTCCATCTAGTCAGTCTGGGTTTCGGTTTAAATGTGTGTATTTTCCAGGCACAAAATTAATTTAAAATTACTGGCCAATCTCAGGTTTTAATTAGGTTAGTCATAAGAGGAATTAATCAGATGTGTGTCAAAGCAATTCAGCTCATGATTCATGGAATTTAGTAGGAACACTCAAGTATTTGTGTCTGCGTTGGTGTAATTTCTTTTTTTCTGTGTGTGTGTGCATTAGAGAGAGAGATGAATTCATCACAGGAAAATCTGACTGTAAACCAGCTCAGTGCAAGTTATCAACAATATATGGAATAGATAAAGTACACAAAATGACTTTTCATTCACTTCTGTGAATTAATTCTCATGGTGATTTTATCATCACTTTCGTTTTGCTGTACAGTTAGGCACATCATAAGTACAGGTTGTTGCAGCTCTTCTGACAGCATTTCCACTTTTCCCAGGTGACTGAGGATGCATGTTTGCATGACTTTGAGGATTCCCAGTGTTTAAGCGACGACACAGATACAGAAGCTGCTTCTGAGGTAGGCATCCCTTGGGTCAGAGTTCCTTGCTTTGGAGTATGCTGCAGCCCTACCTGTATTTAGGAAAACTGCTCTCCCAGCTTCTACAGCTCCTTCTTGCAGTAGGAGAAGCATTAGAGTGTCCCTGGCATAGGGCAGCTGAGTCACAGCTCTTGCCCTTGCTTTCTGGGGTAACCAAGTAAGCTACTGTCAGTTGTGCACATTCAACAGATGCTGAATGATTATGGAGTCTGGAAAATGTACTCCTAGCTGATTGCAGGAGCTCTACTCTTGAGTTCAATAAACTGCACAGCTTGAGAACACTGTATTCTTCCACAGGCTGGGAGAAAGGAAGGACAAATTTAATGCTTAAGGAGAGACCTGCATTTTTAGAATGCAGAGTAGTAAAATTCTTCGGCTTTCTGAGGTGCTGATAATTGAATCGTGCATCTGCAAGCCTCAGTAGTAGCATCCTATCTTGATGAAGCTTTTTTGCTGCTTTTCCTTTGTTGAGGAGAAGAACTGTTAGCAAGAATGCACTAACTGCTGTTTTTGTCTGCCCCAATCATTCTTCAGGACTGCTGGCAATGCACCAAATGCAAGAAGTTTAACTCTCCAGGCAAACGGTACTGTTACCGCTGCTGGGCCTTGCGGAAGGACTGGTACTCAGATTGTCCCAAACTCACTCATTCTCTTTCTCTGTCCAACATTAATGCTATGCAAAATGAAAACAGTGATGAAGGGATCGATGTCCCGGATTGCCGAAGGACTGTTTCTGCTCCTGTTGGCCCACCTAAAGACTTGTGTGTGGTAGAAAACAAATCACACGTAGATCCCTGCGGCTCTATTGAGTCCTTGGATTTGGCACAAGAATGTGAAAGCAGGGACTCTGTGCTGCGTTTCACTGAGCGTAAAAAGGAGGAAGAAATACAGTCTTTAGAGAGTATAAAAAAGTTACTGAATCCTTGCTTCCTGTGCCATCACAGACCGCGAGATGGGAATATTGTCCATGGCAGGACTGCTCACCTTGTGGCCTGTTTCAAGTGTGCGAAGATGCTGAAGAAAAAGAGATCACCTTGCCCAGTGTGCAGGAAGGACATTGAGATGGTGATTAGAATCTTTATGGGGTAGTTGTGCCTCTTCAGGCCTTCTCTGCTGAAGGATAGCACACACATTTTCTTGCACTCTACACAAACCCTAACTTCAGAGCTCGGAGCATGAATACCAAAGACAATCAAGATTCCAAACTGACCAAGAACACAGAAGTCAACCCTGTGTGTCGTATCAAGCAGTGACATTTCTGCTGTGTGCTTAAATGAATGCCTGTTGGGAGTGGGGAGGGACCAGAGTGTTGGTATCGATGCCCTAGCTTTGAAATTATCCAAATCTTTTAAATTGAGTTCAGTAGTTTCAGAAGGCTTCTCTGTTCTGATAACTGATCCTTGCAGAAAGCAAGTTTTGGAGAGAGTTATGACTTTGGCTGTTGGAGTGTTCTCCAGGAAGTCAGATGCTGTGCAATGTCTTGTAAGGGGAGAGTGTGGTGTGGGTGGGTGGGAAGGATGGGAGGGGGGGGTAGGTGAAGAGGGTTGTGATTTTCATAAGCCATTTCTCCAAGGATCAGTTCTCATGAAGGCAGTGAGAAGTAAATAGGCAGGTTTCCAATCATCCCTTTTTTTCTTTTTTTCTTTTTTTTCTTTTTTTTTCTTAATGTGTGTTAGATAAAGTGAAAATCCTTTGCACCCAGACTTGAAATAAGTCCTCTCAAGCTTGTGATTTGGAGCTATCTCAGGTCATGTGCCAGTTGGCAGAAGAATGGGGTGTTACACTGTGCTTTGTTATTAGATCTTTTCATTTGTATTGATTCCTTTTTTTTTTTTTTTTCCATTTAAGTACACTTCTGTGTCAGCTTTATAGCTTTGTTGAAGCCTGTCCAGTGTTAGCTCAGAATCTGGTGTGCCAACTGGATTAAATCATAGCAGCTCTTTGCTCATAGCACCAGTGCAACTTTCACCACTGCTTCATTTCATCAGGTCAGTCTAGAAGATGCATCACCTCGTGTTATCTGGCTTTGCAAACAGGATACAGGCCTTTTTGGGGATAAAAACAGTCCTGCAAAGCACTGATTGCAGCTGGTTAGTCTGTGGGCTCTGTTTAGTGTTCGCTCTTTTGAGTTTTCTCTGCTGATTTTTTTTTTTTTCCCCCTGTGATTTAATGCTTCAGATCTGTTTCAGCAGATTTGTTCTGTCTGTCCTTGAAAGCTACCCGTGTTTGCTCTGCTGTTTGTTAAAACTCAGTTAGGACTTGCAGTTTCAACATGTCTTACTCTTTTCTGAGATCGTATGCTAGAGTGCTCAGCCCTTCCTCCTCTTGTTTCCCTGATGCTTTGTGTTCAGAGTGTTACCCCATGGAGAGGACCTGTGCTCTCATAAGCAGAAGGCAGGTGGGTGCAGTCCAGAAGCAGGGAGGAATTCTAGGGGTGTAAAGCCTTGAGGCCCCCAGAGAGCTGTCTGCAGGCATTTAGGGTGCTCTGAGATCCTGTTCCTCTTCCAGCTTTCCCCTCTGTGCATCCTGGATAGGGCAGAGTACTGCAGAGTCAAAGGGAGAAGATGGTGCTGTGGGAGAAAGTGCTGAGCATAACTTTCAGTTTTCCAAGTCTTTATTTAAAATGTAACGTTAGCAAACAGTCTTGCCATCTGTCTATTCTGGATTCTCTAATGTGAGCCGAGAGGTGGGGGAAGGCAGCTCTCAGCTTGTTCTTCAGTGCTTTGCAGGCCTGTATCCTGTAGCAGAAGTGCCTTCCCCTCTATCTTTCAGTATACAGGCATTTGAATTCAGTCCAGCATGTAGGATGCACCCTGCTTTGTCATCTTCTGCACGATTCCCTCTCCAATCTGGGAAGTGTTCTGCAGATAGAAGAAAAGAAGGTAGTGTTTAGAACTCAGAGCTTCTCTAGGTTGCCTCCCAGTTGTTTTTCACACTCTTTGTGCTGGTCCAGTCCTAGCAGGTGTGCAATGGAAGGCTCCAACGCCTGCCTGGCTGAAGGTCCCAGCAATCTCTTATGTCAAAGTTGTTTCTGTGCAACAATATTGGAGTAGGTGCTATATGCAGTCACTGCCAGAAGTCAGATCAATTTTATTTTACAGAGTATTGTGATTATTTCCATGTTGGTTCTTACTGAGGCTATTATTGTTGGCTGTTATTTACAGCTGTGTTGTGTAAGAGGATAACTGTCTGACATTTGCTGCACTATCTGAGTACATGGGAGTCAGTCCATGTGGAAAAATGTGCTTCTTGCTCCCCTAACAGAAGGGCTGTTCAATGCAGGTGATGCACTTTAATCACGCTAAGCTCAGCAGCGTTGTCTCCTTGAATCAGAAGGGAGTTCCTGCCCTGTAGTTGCTTCCATTTTCAGATGGTTTTTCCTTTTTTTAAGGAGCTTGGGCAGTGTGCATTGTGGCACTGCAGCACTTCTGAATACTGTGAATTCTCCCTCCCCCACCAGTTGCTTCTGAGAACAAAATATTTTGCTAAAAGCAGCTTTGCTGAATTGTTAGCTGCACTAAAAAGCAATTTGTGTTGACCAAACAAATGTCAGGAGAGTGTAGGTTCCTGCAGTGGGTTGAATATCCTTATCAAAACCCTCCTGAGATCTCTATGCAGCTTCTGTTGTGAAATTAAAATTGTCCTTGTTGCAGGGGGTGATAAATCGAATCTGTGGGATAAGCTTTAGAGTCAGGATCTTCTGATCTGTGACTTTTCCTTGAGTGTGACCACGTTGTTTACAACATGCATTTGCCAAGTTCTTTATTCTTTTTAACTGAAGTAGTGCCCATGATGTCTAACAACGTTACAGTTGGTCTTCCTTTCTCTAAAAGAATAAGCTATTGCAGTGCAAGTGGAGCTGGGGTGCCTGGGTTGTGGCTAAGGTGGGTGGGAGGGTTGTAGTGAGGGAGAAAGGGAAGAAGAATGTTTTATTGCTTTAACTGAGGCTGAATGAGGTGGAATTCAGAAAGCTGCTCTTTAGGTGACATGCAGGGAGTGCAGGCTGGAGGTGTGGGTTGAAGAAGTAGCTCAGAGCACTGGGTTGTAATATTTCCTTTGCAGTGCTGTGGGATGTTGGCCAGACGGTGCTATTAGTTTCCTTTTCCACCTGTGCTTTCTGTTGGAGGTGGGTATTGTGAGCTCATGTTCTCTGAAATCATCCCTGGCATCTCGTTGTGCAGAGCAGCTCCTCTCTTAGCGTGATTTTCCTGTGAAGTGCAATATGGCAGAGGTGGTCTGTGGGTAAGCTTAGCAGTGTTGCTGCCTGTCTGTTTTAGGAAGGGCTGAGCACAGCTGCCTTTCAGCTGTCAGATCAGAAAGGTTTCTGTGTTCTTCACTGGCTGCTGGTCCCCAGGGACCTGCTGACATCTCAGTGTGCTCCCATGCTGGGCTTCATTCATGAGATCCCTCTGCTTTTCAGCCAGAAGTTCTGGTGCCATTTATCTCTGGAACCAGTGCACTTCTTCCGTGGGTATTTAAATAGAGGGATCCATGAATCTGTGCAGTGCTCTGCAGTGTGAATCCATGTATTCACCTTCCCTCAGTCTTGACAGCTGGAGCTGCACGCACTGCATTCAATCCTGCAGGTCTTCCCAGTTTAAGTGCCTCTGTGCAGTTTCTCCCAGTGACTTTTGCTTGCTGCTGCAGCTCCCTTACCAGCTGTTTGCTCAGTTGTCTGTCCCTCCTCTGCTGAGCTACATTATTTAGCTGAATTTATCATTGCCAAAGCTGTGACCGAGGGGGAACATTTGGAGCAGCCCTCAGAGTGCTTGTTTCTTCTGAGTGCTGGGCCTTTCCTCGAAGACATTAATGAACTTTCTGCCTCTGCATTGCGTTGTATTTATTAAGGTGCACTCGTTAAGGTGTGTGATGGAAACCATGGTACAGCTTGCCAATGTCCTCTCCATCCTTCTGCATCCAGCATTGATTGTAGCTGATACTGAGAAGCTGTCTTGGCAGAAAAAAAGTGGCTGTTGGACAAATGGAAACGATGTGAGAACAGAGGGCTTGGAAACCCACTGGGGTAGCTTGCTTTTGCCTGTTCTGAGCTTTGTCTTCCTCATCTGGAAGAAGAGAAATGCTCTTATTAGAGGCCTTTGGTGGAGACAGTGTGGTTAAGTGATGGAAGAAGAGCCTTTCTTTGTCCTGGCGTGTTGTGTGAGGTGGAAGACATTCCCTGAATCTTGTTGCCATCTGAATACCTGCAAGGAGCATCAGGATCCTCGAAAAGGAGGTGCTGCAAGGCTGTTTGTTCAAGATCAAGAAGGACATCTGCAGGTGGTGTGGGGGTGATGAGCAGCGTGTGCTTGGAGCAGCTCCAGGACAACAGATCACCTCCAGGCAGCAGCTTTCCAGCTCCAGAAATCTTTGTTGTTGTTGTTACCTACCTAAAATGGCTGGTGTTTTCCCTGCTCCTTTGAAAGTAAGCGAGACCACTCTGTAGCCAGCTGCTCATCAGCCACAAGCTGCTTTAACACCTCTGCACCTTGCTCTCTGCACTTGTTCATATGAATACAGATAGCTGTTGTGAGTGCAGCCCTGTTTTTCTGGGCTTTTACCCTGGTTGTGTGCATCTCCTGCCCACGTGTGTGTGCCAACACCACATCCTGCTGCTCCAAGCAGGCGCTTCAGCAGCACGTGGCTGCTGAGCTCTGCAACAGCTTCATCATCTCTGTTTCATATAAGGCATAACCACCTTTGAGGGTTGGTCCAGGAGGATGCACGAAGAAGGCAGGAGCGTGTTTTACCTCTGGCCAAGATAATAAAGACCTCTTGTTGTGCCAAGTGTGTTCTCCTGCCCGCTCTCCATAGCACGCGGGTTCCTGAATCTGTTTTTCTGAAGAGAAACTGTATCTGTTACCCACCCCCACAGTCAGCACAAGCAGGAGCTCTCACTGAACGACCTCTGCGTTTGCACTATTTATAAAAGGCACGTAGCACGGAATTGGATGGCCTGTTTTTGTGTCCTGCGCCTGAGGAGTTTAATTAAATAAAGCACATCATTCTCTTGACGATGTAGGTTAATTATTTTTTTCCATTCACGCTGCCTTTTGGGGAAAGCTTTAAGTAAAGGCCCGTTACCAGATGAGTAACCTGTGCTCTTTGTATGTTTGTCCTCACGGGGAGGCAGAGACCTGCCAGCCCTCCCCATGCTGCAGGTGGAGGGGAGGTTCTACTGCATGATTTGTCTGCAGGCATGGTGGCGTGGGGTTGGCTTAGCCTATATGTGGAAGTACTGGATGTGTGGTTTAGGAGCTGGAGCAGCTCCCAGTCCCACTGCCACCCCTCCTGCAGCTCCCAGGCCGTGCAGCTCACTAGAGGGCACCCGCCTGCTGCTGCTGCTGAAGCAGGATGCTGGCAGCTTCCTTGCAGCACTCAGCTCCTCGCCTCTGGGCTGCGCACAGCAAACCTTTAATGCTGGCATTAATAGGTTGTGTTGGGCAGTGGGGGTCCTGCGGTTGGGATTCAGCTTGCCTTCGTTTCCTCTTGGTTTATGGG